TGTGTGTGTGCCTGTGTGTGTGGGAGCGGGGAGTGGGTGGAGAGAAGCGGGAATGTGCATCTCAATGAGAAGCATCTCAGTGGTTTTTCATTGAGATTTGCAGCCTCCACATGATTTGCGTTCCATCTAAGCAGTAATGCAAAGTAGTAATGTGTGATGTATATTCAGTTGACACGGCTAGTGAATGTCCCTGCACCGCTCACTGCACCAAAAATTATGATGACTACTACCAAGCAATCATTTCCATCCACTACTACCGTATATTGCACAGTTTTACATTAAACACAAGCAAATGTTGACTTGTAATGATTTATATCCAACCTGCACTACACTTGATTTGGAGCCTAATATAGCAAGCAGGAAATGAGTTTGCATTTTTGGCTGGACTTATTTCTTTTATTTTGAGCTTAACTTTGTGAAACCAGTTTGAGAGCATCAGAAGCACTGTCCTCTTACATGAATCAATGTCAACACAGACTGTATACTTTTTGTAAATACGACAGCGTCAAAAAGCAAGCAGTATAATCCCTGGATAAGTGGTCCCACAAAGCTTGTTCTCAAATCATTCTGTCAACCTAAGACTTTCAAATTCAAATATAAAAAGGCACGATTTGGAAGTAACTGAAAGTAACATGCAATATAAACACAGAGTAGTGCAGATAAGACTCACTTGTTAACATGGCGCACAATAAAACATTAAACCTGCTTAGTTTATTAAAATATTTAATGTTTACCATAGCCAGTCTCCAATTAGCATCTTAGCAGTTGCTAATAAGCACTAAACACAAAGTACAGCTGAGGCTGATGGGAAAATAATTCGTTTTTCTAGGTATTTGGCTTACTAAATGAAATTTCGACCTGATGACGGTGCTAGAAAAAGTTAGAAGTTATTGTATTTCATGAATGCCTCAACTAAAATATCATGTTAATCCATCCAATAAAAGTGTTCAACAGCTGGTCATCAGCAGCTATATAGTGGGGTCACCAAAGTCATTCAGAATTCATCCTCTTGGGACCATTAATGTCTGTACAAAGTGACATGGCAATCCATCAACAGCTGTTGAAATTTCATGACTAATGTTAAATGTTAAAGCTTAGTAAGTATTACAGGACAAAAAGTCAATGTAGGGTAAAAAATATATATATATAAATTGCATATTTGATACAGTTCTATGTTGACATTACAGCTGTCAAGTTCATCCATATTATTTAGTGAAACAGGAATGGGAGAATACTGTAAGTGCAGTCCACTGTAACAATAACCCTTAGTCTCTATGAAAGTACTTAAGTGTACTAACTTTACAGCAAAAATTAGGGATGTTTAGCATTTTATATAAATGAAATTGAATATTTGATTAATCAAGTATCAAAATAGTTGCTGATTAATTTTCTGTTGATTGACTAATCATTTTATCAACTACTCATTTCAGCTCTAATATTTATGCAGTATTTGGTAGGTTTGTCCTTTTTTTCACCACTGGCAGCATGAATGAGTCTCAACCAAAAATAGGACATAACACCTTCACTCTGCCTATAGACTAATACATACACAGAAAGGCCTAAATTCTGATGGTGTCTTGTGAGGTACGTACAAGCTGCCCAAGCTGAGTGCTGCTTGAGGACGTTTGTATAGTCCTTCTGGAAGGTAAAAAAAAAAAAAAAAACTTTGATTGTATTTAATTGATTGAGAGACTCCCCAAATTATTTCTTTAAAATACAAATCCAATAAAAAGCTCTCAGTTGCTATTTACCAGAATATTTGATCAAGCTGAATTTTAAATATTTAGAATCTAACAAAACTCAGCAATAGGAGGTGAGATAGGGTCATCTAACAGATAAGACATCTGTTTGGCCCATAATAAACATGTATTACAGTGGGGAAAATAAAGTAGCTCCTTATACAAGTATATTCCATTTATTCAATCTTCATGAAGACAGTTTCACATGACCTCTTTTTGTATGGATGTTTATCATGCCTCTGTGGTGAGAGTGGGATGAGGGGTATACATCAAGGGGATGTCAGCAAGTCTCAAAGTCTACACAGTACAGTGTACACACACACACACACACACACACACACTTGAGTGAAAATTGCACAACAAGCATACCCCGCTGACTAGTTGGATTATGTCTCATTTACTTACAGAAAATGCATTGATTGTGTCAAATAGGCCATAAGCATAAACATAAAGAAACATTACATCAATATAAAATCACACTGTGCATAATATATTAAAAAACACTATGATTTTGTTGATAACTGCTTTTTTCTGTTTAAAAAAATAGACTAACACTGAAACTCTATAGTATGTGTTTTCATCTAATCGCTTAACAGTTAGTTGTTGGTAGGCAATTGTGTACCTCAAAGTGCATTTACATGCATTTAAAAAAAGGAACACATCATGCTGAAATCAATTTACCTCCAAACAGTACAACAGGAAAACTCAATAGGTCATGAACTGACCTTTTTTTGCTGAATCTACAACTAGGAAGCTAATTAAAAGAGGCATGCCATGCAATATCACGAGGTACGAGGCAAAAACAGGTAGGTGTCTACTGCTAATATTCCTCTTGTCACTGCAGAGCTACACAAATGCTGTAGACAGCTCAAAAGGTCGTGTTATGTGTGATGTTATGCTGCACTATTGATATGAATAAAATCACTTTTTTATCACCTTTTGTCTCTGCAGTAGGGACCTGGAAAAGACTAATTGCACTCCACAGTGATATCAGGTACAAAAGGACCCAACAGCGCTACATGTAGGAGGTATATTCCTATATCATTATAGTGAGAGATGTGAAACCTGGGGCAGATATACCTGCCCATGTACCAAACAGCAGGCAGGCAAAGTAAGCAACTATAGCTGGTGAATTCGAATCCCTGTTGTGCTGCAACCAGAACTATCTCTAATACTTAAAAGGTCTTAATGAGTTAATCAGGGCTGTCTATAGCTTTTTGTTCTGTCAAATTGCTGTGAGCTGCTGTATCTGTATCTGTCAACAGTT